AATATTCCGCTCCTTCCTACAAATAATAAAATCCGTGTCTAGGCTGCTGTATCAAAATACTCATTGACTACTATTAAACCCTTTTAATCTGATAGTGTCAGCACTCATGATACTCTTCCCTTCATTCTGCATTTATACTCCCCTTTTTGTTCTTATGTGCTTGCCTCACTCACATAGAGCTGGTTTGCACGTCATCCTAAGCCTATCTATGACTTAGTGAACATGTACAAGTGTGAGAGTTCCTACAAAGGAGATTTCGACAACTACAGGCCTCCCCCCAACTTCTAGCATGTCATCCAAACTTTGGGTTCTAGGTTTCTGTTGGTTTGTCTCCAGAAAAAGCATGCGCTGTAAACTCATGCTGTTTCAAAAGGTTCACATATAGTGCTTTCTCAGGATTTATTGGCATAAATAACCTCCTTGTTTTTTCTGAGTCATCTGCAGATCAGAATCCCCTTCTCACATTATAAGGATGCTAACTATGATTTAAATGTACTGGGGAAACAACACATCATCAGTCCAGAACAGAATATACTTCCTAAACTAATGTGACTGAATATTTGGTTTTGCTCTTCATTCCCAATACTGGTTGTTGTTTTCCTTCAGATTTCTCTCTCTAGTCCAGGAAGGTAATCAACACCCTTCTTCCCTTTTTTTATTTGATAGTAACCTATGACAATTCTTACAGAAAAGCTTAAGTAACATAAATTACGGAATGCCTTTTTTTAGCTGAGTTTTCTTTGAGAGGCGGCTGTGTAAATACAGCTGTGTTTGGGGACTCCTCACTACCTCTAAATGGGCCAATGTGAGATGAACTGCTTTTCTCATTAGCAGCAGGGGATGTTACATTCAGACTGCAACGTTTTTTAAATAAAGCTTTCTGACACTAAACGGAGTGGGTGGGAAGAGTTTTCTAGTGCCTTATGATTGCATTCCTTTCTGCCCAATCTAACTGGTTCTTAGCTCCAAAGATTAAAAACAATGTCCTCTTTTTATCCATCCCAGCTCAAATAAGAGATCCACACATCCCTTGAGAATCAAGGCATGAGTCATCAGTGACAGCAAGAGGCACATGCCTAATTAAGGCATACCAATCATTGTCTACATGAGAGATAATTAGTCTGCAAAGGGTCACACTGTTCGAGAGTCCGGAACGTATCTGGGATTTTTTTTTAAGCAGTCAATGTTGCTGTCATAGTTAACAAAGGATGCATTTCAACATGGTAATATTACAGCTGCAAATTATTTTTAATGATGCTTACAAAAAGCAACATATTGATACTGATGTTGAGAAAAATAACATAGTTATACTAGATGTTTAAGGCAGAATAGTCTGAAGAACCACTGGTGTGAACTCTTGGTTTTTCCATCACAGCGTGGCTTGTGCTGTGTTTTATCAAGCTACTACTTTCTACCATTTATCAAAGTACTTTATTTTTTTACCTTGCTGATCTTTCAAAAAGAGCAAGGCCCAGTAAGTGGGTTCCCACTGTACTAACCATTGAAGTAAAGCTGAGATAGAATGGCACCCAAGGCTAAATAGGCTAATACAGGGCTTCCAGAGTTTAGACCAATTTTCTGTCCATGATCACAATATATCATGGTGTTAATAAACAGAAACCATGCACCTGCAATATTTACTATATGTTAATATGCACCTTTATGTGCACATTTTGTTGTTGGAGACTGGTACTGCAAAATTCAGAGAAGTGAAAATTTCAAAGGATAGATGTATTTCAGTTCCTGTATTGGTTCATGTAGTGGGAATTAGGTGGGTTTGCATTAAAATGTGAGCTGAATTTCCCCTTCACTGATGGAATGAGTCCCAATAAACCCAATGGCCCTTTAGTCCCAATATATATGCATATAATCAGATTGTACACCTTCCAACAAAGATATTCAGTTCATGGAGGAAAACAGTTATGAAGAAAGTAAGATTTAATGTCTGTTTTTTTGATAACCAACATGTTTCTGACATGACCTGCTTTACGTTTCACATGTCTTTATTCATTTTGTATTAATTTTGCTTGGTTCCTAACAAAAGCTTGCTATAACAAGCAAATATCTCTGCAGTTGGCCTTTACAGAACAGAACCTTGAACAGCTGCAAATAAAACACTTCCAAAGTAAGGTTTCCAGCTCTAGCAGAAATGCAGAAATACAAACATATTAAGTGCCTAATTCTAGTAAGCTTTCGTTTTCTTAAGATATATGGCGCATAAAGAGATCTCGTGAGTTTGCTCTTTAATGTTTAAGTAGCACTGAAGCCAGCTATCATTATAATGGATGGGAACGGAGGCACAGGGAAGACACATATTTTGCAATGCAAAACCCATCCTTTGCCCCAAATAATGGTGACCTTAGTGCTTGTGGCAAAAGGAAACTTTTACCCTAACTGAACTGAGACCCAGGCTGCAACCCATTTACTTTGTCACACAGACATGAAATAAGACCAAGCTATTAAGAGCCAACCCAGGGCTCAACTTCTGGATTTGAGTTCAAATTCTTGGTCATGCTAGAGCAGGAGTGAGCAACTTGCAGCCCTCAGCCTAATTTCATGTGGGTGTCAAAGAGAAAAATGAGGAAGGGGGAACAATGGGGGGGGATGTAAGTGAAAAGAGGTGGCAGAAAAGGAGAAAGAGCTCTGCCTGATTTTGACACTGGTCCAGCACAAATGCCAGCATGTGTCCTCTAACAGATTATCCCTGCGAGAAAGCAGTCGTAACCCACCCACACACAAGGCTCCCCAATTCGCTGCTACAGGATGGTAAAGAAATTAAACCCTGGAAGAGTTTGTGCTTATGCGCGCTTCGTGTTTGTAAAGTTAATAGAGTAGTACAATCCATCTACTTTAGTATAAAGTCATCTGTATACTGAATAACTCTGTATATTAAGCTAGAAATGTCTTAAATGCCAAACAGGAAGGAAATGAGCAGCTTGATCATTTCTCAGCATGCCAGTAGCAGCTGGCAGGTAGCAGCAGCACAGAGCTCTTTTGCCAGAGGCATATTAGCTTTTAACAAGAAAGTTTGCAGTCTACACTCAGACATATATGTTCCTCCTGTATATAAACTTAACACTTTTACTGAGCATTAGGAGACGAGTGTAAGATGTCTCACTCATTAATAAATGAAGCACTCACACTATCAAAATTTCATTCTGGTATTTGCACCTTGGAAAGAGGAATGAAATTTGCTGCACGCACGCACACACGTACGCACGCACACACACACACACACACCACAAAATTAAATGCAAAATATAAATTTAAGTTCAGCCAAGTTTCATCTTCAGCAATGAAATGCTGTTGGGGTCTCACGCTTAAGTGCACTATATGTTTCAGGTTACAAAATAATCACACATGTGTCAAGGGGGTGGAGGGGTAAGTAGCTTTCTCCTTTCTGAATTTCATTTCACACAGAATGGGGCAAGAATGTGCTAATATTGTTACATTTGTGACAACTGTGCATTTCTTTCTTAGTATAACACACACAAAATGTTATACCATCAGTTTAGGTGGTAGCTAGATAGGAAGTTGGGGATGCGGGTGGCGCTGTGGGTAAAACCTCAGCGCCTAGGACTTGCCGATCACATGGTCGGCGGTTCGAATCCCCGCGGCGGGGTGCGCTCCCGTTGCTCGGTCCCAGCGCCTGCCAACCTAGCAGTTCGAAAGCACCCTCGGGTGCAAGTAGATAAATAGGGACCGCTTACTAGCGGGAAGGTAAACGGCGTTTCTGTGTGCGGCTCTGGCTCACCAGAGTAGCTTTGTCACGCTGGCCACGTGACCCGGAAGTGTCTGCGGACAGCGCTGGCTCCCGGCCTCTAGAGTGAGATGAGCGCACAACCCCAGAGTCTGTCAAGACTGGCCCGTACGGGCAGGGGTACCTTTACCTTTAGATAGGAAGTTGTTGCATACTCGACACTCTGGTGCCTAGAAGTTTAGTATGAAGAAAATGCTAGTTCTGAATCACCATTAGATGCGTAGTAGAGTGCCTGGTCTTGGACATACAGGTCACTAGCATTTCCTTTTAAGTGTTTTCAGGTCGATTGAGAGGATAGTATGCTCTTGACTCACTGACAACAAACCTTTTTGGCCAAACACACAACTTCTTTGTCCCTCTCTTCATATGCACAAGTAAACAAACCATGAAGTTCCTGCATTACCCACTGTTTTCCATTTTGCTTGAACCAGAAAACTAAGGTTAAAAGCTTTGAAATAAAGCAGGATATTAAACCATGGTTTGTAGCTGCCCTAATAACCTGGCTTGTTCCAAAGCTGTTACCATAGTAACCTGATTCAGACAAAAAATGGTAATTAATGGAAGACTTTGTGGATCTTTTGTTCCCACCACAAAGAAAGGAAAGAAGTAGCTATGTGCAATGCCAAATTGATTTCCAAAAAGTCCTTTTTCCATTACCAACACTTCATACAACGGCTAAATAATCATTTCAATATTGTTTCAAGTATATATGCAAAGCATGAGGCTGCTTGTTATTTCAGACCAAAATAACACATATTTAAACACCAGAATCTTGGTTTTTATTAATAATGGAACTGAGGGCCACCTATGAAATTTATTGGCAGTGCCTTCAAGGAATTATTCTTTACACAATGAATAATGCATACAATGTGGTGATGGACACTAGTTTAGACTGAGAATTAGATATATTCATGGCAAGTAATTCTACAAATAGTCAAAGCACTTTGTCAAAGCACTTCGTATAATTTTATTTATACACATAATTCTGCCCGCAACTAGCTCCAAATGGAAATTTCCTGTTCTCCAATGGATATGAAGCAAGTTAATCACCAAGGATTCTCACTTTCCTAACACCACAATTTTCCCTCCCCTTCTAAGCTCATCCCTTACTTTGGGCAAGAGATTGTAAACTTGATGCTCTGCAATGTTACAAATAAGCCAATACTAAGAGAGTATCCAGTCCTACTGTAAAATAACAAGGTTACTTGAGTTCATTGCTTAGTAACTTTCTTTTCTTTAGATCAAATCTGAAAGAACCAATAATGAAGTTTACCTGAAGGCATTAGCAAGGATAAACTTGAAAGGTAACACTGACCCTAATAGAAGAAGTCTTGTCTTTGCCTAAGAGCTTTCTGTAGTGCTAACTTCATATTTATAATTCTTCTAAACTACTGCACTAGTGTCCAAGAAAATTTTCCCCCGCCAAATCTTTAATACAGAAAAGAGGCCCATGTTTAAGTCTTTTGTCACCAGCAGCACATCCAACAATAGGGACAGCAAGGCAGTAGGTAATTCAGCTTGTGAAGCTAATGCCAGAGTTTTATTAACTAACCATTTGTGCAAATGTTCTTTTCTCTGCAAGCCTGAAGAGTACCTAATTTCATGGAACAGATTATATTTTGATTATGTTATTCTGTACCAGTGCTACTTTGCATTGCATATATATTGGCCCCTTGCCACAAAAAAATGCATTAGAAAACCTCAAAACAACATAATGTTTCACTGACATGTTTAGCTCACACATTGTCTGATGATTTTATTTATACACATTAAGACACTGCAAGTTAGAAAGCTTTACACCTACATACAAAGGGGGGAGGGGTGTGTGTGTGTGTGTGTGTGTGTGTGTGTAGGGGCTGTAGCGGGGAGAGGAAGCCCCAATGCACAAGCAGAAGTTCATTGTGCGAGTGGACCGACACCATTTGATATCACCCAATACTACAGGCTTGGAGGCATTACAGCAGGGTTCAAATTGCTACTCAATCATGAAGCTCAGTGAATAACCTTCAGCCAGCCATTATATTTCAGCTCAACTTACCCCAGTAGGTTACTTTGAGGATTAATCATTGGGGAGGATCATATCCGCTGCCCTGAGCATCTTGGAAGAAGGGTAGGACAAAAGCTTCATAAACACAGCTAAGCCAATTGCAGTGCAGCCATTGGCCATGGCACCAACACCATGGCAAATCAAACCTCTTTTGAAGGTTGCTGCAGCATTTCAAGTGGAAGAGAACAACCGACAATAGAAATATGCCTTGGAAAGTCTACTGCGGGTGCTTAAAGGATAGTGCCAATAATTTGTCGGTTGCCTCCTCAATGCCCAGAGCAGTTTCAAAACTGTTTCTGAAATCCCTGTTTAGCTAGAAAGCGGCAGAACTGGGATGCAAAGCCCCCAAGCCATTGACTATAATCGTCAAATTGCTTGCTCCAAAGTAGTCCCACTGAAGTCAGAGAGATCAATGGAGCAAGAAGCTGGAGGGTGTTGGTCTAAGGGTATTTCTTGTTAAGTCCCTTATTAAGTTGTGGCTCAAAGCATCCCTGGTCCAAAACTTGTCTCAGGCACTACATGGCCTTAAGGAAGCCATTATCTCACAGCCCCAGCCCCAGTGCTGTACAAGGATAATTGTGACCTACTTTAACGGATTGTTGCAGGGATTACTGAAGTCATTTATTTAACTGCCTTCAGTACCATGGAATAGAGTGTGTGTGTGTGTGTGTGTGTGTGTGTGTAGAAACACACACATACCTAATAAAAATGGCTAAGAATATCTCCACTGTTTATGTATGTAGCATGTGCACACATGTATGTACAAGTGTGTACATAAAGGAACAGAAAAGAGCAAAATACAATTATGTGGCACTGAAGAGATGAAAACAGAATATAAAATATGTTTTAAAAAGGGAAATATAGATGGCTCTGAGAAAGATACTATGCCTCTCCTGCTGACACCAGCAGTGTTTATTTCAGATAACGTTTGTCACTAGTTGTCTAAAAGTTGCAAGTCAGTCTTGGAGATTAGCATTCAATGCCAACAAATGAAGGGAAGGAAGGAGCCAAATCAGATGTTAGTTCAGACTATTCTATGCTTTACATCTTGGAAGACATCCTTTGCCAGGGATGCAGTGTTTACTATCTTTGACCAGCAACATCTCAAAATACATTTATCAATGTCAGTGAACCATTGGCCTTATCATACAAGTTTGCAAACAAAGCTACCAGTGTGAATCATGACTGCAGGAAACAAAAGGAAAACAGTGCAAGATAGAATGCAACTTGATCTGTCAGTCATGTATTGCCTACCATTTCGGTTGTTTATTGAAAATACTGTGTGCCAAGCAATGTGCCACAAGACTTGCTGCTGATATTGCTGTAACAGACCAACCCTGCCAGCCTTCTGGAAAAAAACTGAGTTGCTATTATGTTTAACCAGATGTAAAGTTCTACAGCGATTTGAATTCTTATTGTACTCAGAAACATATTGGTCATGATCCCAAAAATGTACACACATTAGTAGATGTCGATCTCACCACAGATGATAGTGACACACGAACCGTTTGTTTGGTAGGTACCACATCACCAATGGGAGGAGAGGGCAGAACCAGTGCAGATAGAAGAACCTGTTCATTTACATTCACAAACAGTGGATTTAAGTTCAGCTGTAAATTTAAACTTGAAGTCCTATATGTAAGTTCCATTGAACTCAATGTGGCTTACCTTCAAGCAGACATATGTACTATTAGGCATATTGCTGTGCTAATTGTATCAACATGCAAATGCTTAAATTTCTGAATACTTAGTTTAATAGCAGCAAATACTAATTGTTTTCTCTCTCTTTATATTGAAGGTCTCTTTTCAACAACAACAACAAAAAGAAGGAAAACATCATGGAATCTAAACTTAACACTACTATATGATTGTTCTGCTTCCTTTGTGACGACCTCCTGGGTGGACCACATTTTTCAAATACAACTCAATATTTATTGTTCCCCAAATATGCCTCTCTTAACTGGACAAAGTGACTGCAAAGGAGCCACATATTTCCAAGAAAGAGAGGGTTGTTGTGCTTCTGCAGCATGCGTCATTTGACAAATGCAAGTGTTTGTCTTCTCAAATGACCATCTCCTGTTGAACTTAAAAAACTGTAATTGTCCAATCCTTAAGGGCCAATTACTTTTCTGGAACAGTGAGCTAAAATGAAGGACATGCCATTCAAAATTCACTTTTTACTTGGCCTAACTATCACTGTGCTAGTTCAAGCTGTAGATAAAAAAGCAGACTGCCCACAGTCATGTACATGTGATATAAGACCATGGTTCACTCCAAGATCCATATACATGGAAGCTTCTACCGTGGATTGCAATGATGTAGGTCTCTCAACTTTCCCAACCCAGTTGCCTGCTGACACACAGGTTCTACTTCTACAGGCAAACAACATTAAAAAAATTGAATACCCAGCAGACTTCCCAGTAAACCTTACTGGTTTGGATTTATCTCAGAACAGTTTATCATCAGTGGCCAATATTGAACTTCGGAAGATACCCCAACTTCTTTCAGTGTATCTGGAAGAAAACAAACTTACAGAGTTGCCGGACAAATGTCTCACTGGGCTGAACAATCTCCAAGAGCTCTACATTAATCACAACCTGCTTTCCACAATTGCACCAGGAGCCTTCACAGGTCTTTATAATCTTCTTAGACTTCATCTCAATTCCAATAGTCTGCAAGTGATCAACAGTAAGTGGTTTGAAGCTATTCCTAATCTGGAGATTCTTATGATTGGAGAAAACCCAATTATCAGAATCGAAGATATGAACTTTAAGCCCCTTATCAATCTGCGGAGCCTGGTTTTAGCAGGCATAAATCTCACAGAAATACCAGATAATGCCTTGGCTGGCCTTGACAATTTAGAAAGCATCTCTTTCTATGACAACAGATTAGTAAAAGTGCCCCATACTGCTCTTCAAAAGGCTACTAACCTTAAATTTTTAGATTTAAACAAGAACCCCATTAACAGAATACGAAGAGGAGATTTTAGCAATATGATACACCTCAAAGAATTGGGAATTAATAATATGCCTGAACTGATATCTATTGATAACCTGGCAGTCGACAATTTGCCAGACTTGAGAAAAATAGAAGCTACGAATAACCCCCGACTGTCATACGTACACCCAAATGCATTCTATCGACTTCCTCGATTGGAATCACTCATGCTCAACAGTAATGCTCTCAGTGCCCTGTACCGTAGTACAATTGAATCTTTGCCTAATCTCAAGGAAATCAGCATACACAGCAACCCAATCCGGTGTGACTGCGTCATCCGATGGATTAATATGAATAAAACTAGCATTAGGTTCATGGAGCCAGAATCATTATTTTGTGTAGATCCTCCTGAATTTCAGGGCCAGAATGTGAGGAAGGTTCATTTTAGAGAAATGATGGAAATCTGCCTTCCACTGATAGCCCCAGAAAGTTTTCCCTCCAACATAAATATAGAAACAGGCAGCTATATTTCTTTACATTGCAGAGCGACAGCAGAACCAGAGCCTGAAGTGTATTGGATAACTCCATCTGGACATAAACTTTTGCCGAACACTGTTTCTCTTAAATATTATGTACATTCAGAAGGAACGCTAGATATCAGTGATATAACACAAAAAGAAAGTGGCTTATACACATGCATAGCAACTAATTTGGTCGGTGCAGATTTAAAATCCATTATGATTAATGTGGATGGTTCTTTTCCCCAGGATAACCATAAATCTGTGTCTATTAAGGTAGAAGACGTGCGATCTAATTCTGTACTTCTGTCCTGGAAAGCAACTTCCAAAATAGTGAAATCCGCCATTAGATGGACTGCCTTTCCAAAAGATGGAAATTCTCTGGCTTCCCGGAGCACTCGAATTCCATCCCATATAAAAGTCTATAATTTTACACATCTAACCCCGTCCACGGAATATACAATTTGTATGGACATCCCCACTGTCCAGTTACAGAATGCAAGACAGTGCGTCAACATTGCAACAAAAGGGTTGGATCCAGCAATGGCAAATTATGAGAAGAACAACATCACTACATTGTTTGTCTGTCTTGCTACACTTTTGGGATTCTTTTGTGTGGTTTCTCTCTTCAGCTGCATCTCTCGTGAAATGAACTGTGATGCAGGACACAGCTACTTCAGGAATTACCTGAAGAAACAATCCTTTTCCTTCAGTGAGCTTTACCCTCCTCTAATCAGTCTTTGGGATACTAACAAAGAGAAAAGCACAGCGCTCGAAGTCCAAGCAACAGTCATAGGTGTTCCAGCTAATATGTCATGAGATACCAATGTTACTGTACTAGTGTGCTAAACTGGGGTGCACAAGACTAAATAATTGTGCTCAATAAAAAGCAAAAAAGAAAAGAAGTATCCCTCTACAAAAATCAAAACCTTGGACTTAGCAGATGGTGATAGTTACAAATACAAATATTTGCCGGTGTGGTATTTTTTTAAAACAAACACCTGTCTTTGAAGAATTCTGTGCCAACCAAATTGTTTTCTAGGACTTTATAGTGTGACTTCTTACAATCTAAGAGGCACTCAATGCTGTCTATACAGTGCAAGTAGAGGAGAAAATTTTATGTATTTGTTGTTTTTTTAATTAAATGTAGAAATAGTGAAATTGAGTAATACCCTCCTCCTGTGTTATATGACACACATTAGCCACGAGTTTTTGCAGTGAACTAGAATTGACCCGTGGTGTGATGAATTGGACAAATTCTGTAGAGTAGAAACAGTGAGTATGTGAAACTTTTTTTATGAGGAAAAAATACATTTTTGAGTACAATCAAAATATTTTGGACTTCTTTCTTTCTAAATAAGTTCTTTTTGGGATTTACTGGAACATGCTGTGCAACACCAACATTTTAATATCCAGTAAATGCACACAGACTTGCAGGCCTGATTGCATCAAATCTATTTCAGGCTGTGTAGTTGCAATAAAGGACACAATAAAACACTTTCTGAAGTATTCACATAAATGTTTAGGAAAGGTGTTTCACTGGCTGAACACCAAGACCAATTGACACTATGTTGTGTTGTGTTGTGTTTTGTTTTTAAAAAGAACAAAACAAAACAGCAAAAAATCTTATTGGAGCTGTTTTTAATTTATATGAAGCGCTCAGCAGTTTCTAGTCAAAATCATAGTACTACAATCATTTCTGTATATTTTAAAACAATTGAATGTCCCAAAGTCATGGATCCATTTTCATACAAGCCATTACCATAATCATTCCGATTTTACAGACTAGCTATTATTGAGTAGAAAACTGAAACAAAATGAGCTGTGTGAACATCTGCATTTGCTTAACTGGGCCACACCACTTGAACTGAAAGAGTATTTGGATTAAAAATTAATAGAATGTTGTGACCTGCTGATATTATTCCCAGAGGGAGCTGGCTGGTCACAACAGGAAACTGGATTTTGAACTAGATGGCACTTTGGTGTGATCCATCAGGATTTTCTGGCAAACCATTCAAGAAGTAACTATTGTTAGCAATGAATCTTTTCTCTAGATGTATCATGCTTTCAAACTGCATGTCTCAAAGAAACCAACCAGATTAGATTCTGGGATTTACCCAGACTTCATTCAAATCAAATGAAGAATTCTAGGTAACTCAGCCTGGCTGTGTATCCACATTTGAGTATCAAGGCTTGGTATATTGAAAATATTTATTTGCTTTTCTGGTGTGTTTGCAGTGTTCAAGACTAATAATAATAATAATAATAATCCTAAATCCAATAGAGATTAAATCATCAATAACAACAAAAATAAAGAGCTGTAAAAATGAAAGCAGGTCAGATGCAACCAAAATAACCATCATCACCAAAATAAGAGTCAGCCACAAAAGTGTAGAATTGTGATTTACAGTCTCCCCTAATTTTGAGGAAAATGTATACCACCGGAGTTGGAAATATGTTACATGATTACAATGAAAATAACTGGATTGTGTAGCCTGTTCATGTCAGAACTGATGTCCAACAAATTCCTAAAGAATTCACAAGAATATCAAGAACTGGGAAGAAGCAAGACAGAAATGGCCAATATGCAGGGGAAATAACAGGGCCAGCTCTGTACAAACAGCAGGATGAAGTGGCCTGCTTCAGGTGGTACCATAAGGGAGACATGGATAAATGAAGGCAGGAATTGACTTCTGAATGGTGCAACAAGATGAGGGAACCATTTGGGTTCTGCAGGGGAAAAATTTTGAGCTGGCATTGAACAGGAAGGTATAGAGATGAGTAGAATGCCAACAGCTTTGTCCTTAGAAGAAGGTAAGTAGCTGAGATTCAAGAGCAGAAAGAGAGACTCTGTAAGTTAAAAGTATGCAATGCTGTCTCATGGATTTCCTGAATCATCAGGAGACAACTCAGTCAAGAAGGCTGAGGGTGGTTTGGGTGTCAGCAGCATCCCCTTTGGTGCAGTCAAAGATATGGTCTGTTGACAATATGATGCTACACTCTTGCTGAAGTTTAAATAGCTCTTGAGTATGGTCAGTGCCTGGAAAGTACCTGGGACCCCAATATACGATCCCTTATCTTCCATCATAGAAGAAAGACAGGGACATATGTTATAAATGAATGGGGGGAAAACTGCCCCCCAATTCTGGCCTTCTGTCTCAGCAAGGCTTTACATTGGTAGAAGGGAGCATTTTGGCTCAATGGGCCAGATTCTTATCAGAATGTGCCTTGCAGGTCAAAATTGACAGGTTGGCCATCTGTCAATCACCTATCTTCATAAATGACATCAAAGGATTTGGTGCTTTGAAGTTGGGGGCTTCAAAGTACTAGCAAGCAACATATCACTGCTAAAAGTAAAGTGTTCCCATCTTCATTCCACCAGCCACTTCACTGAAAACCCATTTGGAGTGAAACAGCTGCTGAAACAAAGCAGAGGAAAAAAACTCAGGATAACCTTTCACATCAGCTGATGCAGATGGGAGTAAGCCAACCAAATCGCTGTCAGGTGTTTTGGAAACTGCTCAAGAAAGCTTTGACAAAGCTCTGCCCTTAACTCTATGACATCAGGTGTAGGGCCGGTAGGCATGGCTTGCCCAAAACAGCCTTATGGACCAAATAGGGAAACCTAGTGATTGGCCTACAAGGCAGAGGCTCCCCACCCCTGCTTTAAATAAAGTTGGAGAGATAGCAGGACCTACTCTTTAAGATTGACAATTCATTCAAATTAGGATGTGCAAATGTGACATTTCAGAGTCAAAATATAATTTGAAGGCAGGACACTACAAACTAAAATTTGCCCCAAAGCCCAAAATTAAGTAACTCAAATCTCTTAAGAGTCTGAACATTTACTTTTACATAACATTTTAAATTTCAAACATCTATTTAGGAAGTGTGCAATTTTTCCACAACCCTAAAAACCTGCCTAGACTTTTAATTATGCTGGATAAGAAGTTGACCAAGAATGTTATCTATACAAATCACAGTGATTTCTCAGTGTTTATATGACCTCTTTCTATACAGAGACTGCTGTGTTCGATCTGCCACTGATTGTCACAACAACAAATCCCCCTTGAAAGCAAGTCATTAATTACTAAAAGTTCATCTTAAATTATGACAAATTCTTCCTGGGTCATTTTTAGTCATTGCTTGCAAGCTGCAAGAGATTTCCACAGAAGCTTTAAAGGCCAACATGGGATGTGTGTGGGTCCCAGTGGTAATTCTATAATATCCAAAATATGTATCTTTATGAATTCAGTATGTTTCAGTGAGCACACTCTTTACAAACCTGATGAATCGCTATCACACACATGCCGACATTAGAATTTATCAGCCAGACGTGCCCATACATCACGAGAGATTTCAGCACCGAGGACAGAGCTCTTAGAGGCAGGCTATTTATCAAGCACACAGTACTTGAAATATGACCTATTATAAAGTCAGCACTGTATAGGTCAGCAAGAACTTGTTCATGTATCTTGTATGTTTGTCTTATGAGACAAAGTACATTTAAAACCAGTTACTGATACAGCTCAGGGGTTAGAATTACATTGTTTCAAATAACGCAGCTGAGATCAATGGCAAAAAAATAGCCATACACGAAGAGCACTTTGCCATAAGTATGCCAATAAGAACTTATTTCTTGGATGAAATCAGCAGTTCTTACACTTCCCTGCAGAGGCACCATCTTCCAAAGAACATTGAGGGGGCCCGACGTAACATCCTGACAGTGCATGTGCAACGTCACACAACATCCTGACGACATTCCATGCCCAGCTCCATTTTTTTCCTCAACAATAGTGGGCAGCCCCCTTTTTAAAAAAGAGCCTCAGCCCCCTGGAGCCAGTGCCTATGCTTCCTTGTGTAATTTACTATAATGCAGAATTCCACCCAGAGTCTTCCTTAAAGCAGAAGAATTTACACAAATGATCTAAAATGCTATCTTCCACAAAACTGATACATAAGTGAAGTTTTTGCTTGAAAGATTCAAACTATTATATGTGTGTCCAGGCACTTGCCTGAAAATGCAGAGCTGGTTTGGGGCCGGAGGCACGTGGAAGTCTTCCCCTCAACATCCCCATGTGCATGACCCTCCCTCTTCAGTCATACAACATTCCCTGTTTAGAGAGGTAGGTCTTAAGGGAGCTTTTTACCCATGTTCACTTGAATGCACATAGAACACCTTTAGTAGTCAAGGACCTTAACTTTATCAGGCTCTCCAACTGTGTAAAAGGCTCTCCTCACATTCAGGTGAGCACAAGTAGAAGCCCCATGCAGATCCTCCAAGCAAAACATGGGAAATGTTGAGGACTAAATAGGTGGGGTTTTATTATTTCCTTGACAACTGATAGGAGGGTGTTCCACAGGGTGGGCGCCACTTCCGAGAAGGCCCTCTTTTTAACATTCATTTAAGTTTTTCGTAATTTGGAAATAGTATCCCTCTGTCAAGAATTAGGCACAATGTGTTCCATGCAGCACACTCTTACAAGCATGATGGTAACATGGCTCCTGCAATAAGGAAGTTCACAGATTGAAAGTTTCCTGTTCACTTCATCTGGATTCCCACCAAGTGTCTTTCTGGATGACTGGAGGCCCTCCTGGACAATGTGGGGTGTAGCATGAGCAGAAGTCAATCAACACTAGGTTTGGCTGGTGGAAAGTTTTCCATCGCTCCCCAGCACCCCCTTGTGCCCATATCATTCTGAAGGGCCCCTCAAAAGAGGCCTTTGGGGAGCACAGTTGATTGCAGCTGGGGAAAAGGAATCAGAAAATTTCCTTCCATGGATGTTCTTAGGTTAACTTAGCTAAGGATCCGTATAACATTAAAATGTTTCTGCTTAGTGAATCTCATAAATAAATACATTCTCTCACACACTTTTTCTTGATGGTTTTAAATGGAAAAGGGCTATTGTGTATTCGTAAAGCTTTTATTAAAAATAGTGAACTGAACTGATATGAGAAAATTCTGTTTCTGGTAAATTTAGAATATACAGTGTAGGTTTTCCTTCCGGGAGAGAGAGTCCTGTTTTATAAAATGCTTAAGAATCACATATTAATTATGCCATGCTTTTGTACACCATAGCTGCAATCCCATTTACTCTCCCACATTTTCCAGAACTGTATAATTTTATCATCATTTTAAAATCATTCCTAAATGTGCCACTTGCAAAAGGTTGAAATAAAAATGGGGGGGGGGCAACACAAGCTAGATAGATGTCTAATAACCATGCATGTCAGGATTTCATTCAAACACAGAAACAGAATGTAGACGATGCCCTCCTTAGTGGTTTAAAACTACTGACATTATTCAAATAAAAAATAGATTGTATATACCTACAAAGCCAAATGTGAGTGGCTTCTAGATGTTACAATACACAGAAGCTTAAGTGACTCTGTCTTCCTGTCACCATATTTCTGCTTTTCACCCAAAGCCCAAAGAGTTGTGGAACTAGGGAATTTTAGATCTTAGACTTAATGGTAGGATGGGACACTTTAGACTGTCATGTGAAATACTTCAGCTGTGAAGCACTCACTTAATATATCTCTTCCCGATGTTGCCGTTACATGCTTTACTACCACTTCTGCAGCCTTGATACTTTACAGGAAAACAAACCACCACCTCCACACACAAAAAGTTTGCCAAACCTGATTGGAAAATAAATAAATACTGTGAGCATGTGCAGTTCTGCATTCTAAATTCACTTTAATCACAGCACCATCTTAAGTACTGGAATAAAATGGGGTTTGCTTTGGCTGCCCTGAAGTTAAACACATTTACTTGGAAAGAGCACCACTGTGTTGTTGAAAAGGATAATTGGGTTGTATTTCAACAAGTCCTACTCAGAGCAGACTCATTACAATTAATGCACCAAAGTTGTTGTTGTTTAGTCATTTAGTCGTGTCCGACTATTCATGGACCAGAGCACGCCAGGCACTCCTGTCTTCCACTGCCTCCCGCAGTTTGGTCAAACTCATGTTAGTAGCTTCAAGAACACTGTCCAACCATCTCGTCCTCTGTCGTCCCCTTCTCCTTGTGCCCTCAATCTTTCCCAACATCAGGGTCTTTTCCAGGGAGTCTTCTCTTCTCATGAGGTGGCTAAAGTACTGGAGCCTCCGCTTCAGGATCTGTCCTTCCAGTGAGCACTCAGGGCTGATTTCCTTAAGAATGGATAGGTTTGCTCTTCTTGCAGTCCATGGGACTCTCAAGAGTCTCCTCCAGCACCAGAATTCAAAAGCATCAATTCTTCGGCGATCAGCCTTCTTTATGGTCCAGCTCTCACTTCCATACATCACTACTGGGAAAACCATAGCTTTAAGTATACGGACCTTTGTCAGCAAGGTGATGTCTCTGCTTTTTAAGATGCTGTCTAGACAGCACCTAAGTCAATCGTGCCCATAAATGTCAATTGGACTACTCTGAGTAGCACCAGCATTGAAACCCACCCACTGTGTTTTAAAAGTAAAAATAAAAGGCATCTATGAACATGTGCATGCCTGGTCAGCTTTCTTCTGACTATAAAATGCTTTTGAAAGCAAGCAAGCTGTGTCAACCTACATTGGTCCCAACAGGTCATGGCATGCTCCGGCAGGGCCTGTTTGCTAGTGTCCCCCATCAGCTGCTCTCTGGGTGGCCAGTTGGGACCACCTGAGCTACAGGGCTCTGCACATCAGTTCCAAAGTCCAGGTCTACCTGTACTACTGCCTAGATATATGAGGAGCATTCTCCCACACATTTGGACTCAGGGCAGACTACCTAAACATTTACAATTTTACATATTTCTACTCTTTATACTTGAGGCAAGTTGTAACATAACATCTGTATAGCTCAGCTGGTAGAGCATAAGACTCCTAATTGGGCAAAAGATTCCTGTATTGCAGGTGGTGGTCCCTTCCAACTGTATGATTCTATGATCATCCTGTGTATTCACTGCCAACATTTTATTATCTCATACAGTGGCTTCCCCATCCACTGCTTCATCCCCATTCATACCTCATAAGCCGGCTAACTAGAATGAAAAGGAACAAATTATATATATATATATATATATATATACACACACACACACACACACACACACACACACACATATATATATATACATACACACACACACACACACACACACA